GCTCAGACAGAGGGTACATCCCAGACAATCGCACCACAAAGGGACCCCAGAGATCATCTGCAGCAGCACCTCTCAGAGTATCTTCCCAAAATGCTCGTTCTAGAATATATTTTTGCTGGGCGTGATGGTGCATGCCTATCGGTCCAGCACTCGGGAAGCTGAGGCAGGAGGATTGCTGTGAGTTTGTGGCCAGCCTGAACTACATAGTGAGAGAGACCTTGTCTCAAAAAACCAAAATGAATGAATAAAAATAGCATACATATTTTGAAAGGAGCAAGAGTAGCATTCTGTGTTCAAATTTGGGAAATGTGGCACAAACATCTCATGCTAGAAGACTCACAATTCCCCCAAGTACATAAAGGGCTGAGAATTCACAACAAAGCAGCCACCTTATCATTATTTGAAACAGAATTTCCTGATTTTATTTCACCATAGAACCTCATTTCCCTTCTCAGAATCCCTGTGGAATTCTGAGATCACACCATCCCATGGGAATGTGGGAGAAAGGTTGATGCAGTCCAACTTTGTCTTACAGACAAGAGCCCAGGAAAGAAATGTGACTTCCTTGTGACAAGGCCCCAGGTACCACTAAATAAATAAATAAACAAACAAATAAATAAATAACTTTGTAAAAAGCTCAGTGTCCTCAAAATGACAGAGATGGAGACACATTAATATTGATGTAGGAGAGGAGAGATCTGTAGAGGTGGAACAGTTTCATTTTTGTTTTTCAGTATTAGAGATTAAACCCTAAGCCTTAGCTGGGCATGGTGATGCACATCTGTAATCCACACCCTGGGCAGGCTGAGGCAGGAGGATCACTTCGAGTTCAAGGACAGCTTGGACTACATAGTGAGACCTTGTCTCAAAAAATCAAAAAAAAAATGGGACCGGGGATTTAGCTCAGTGGTCCTGCCGCCGCCTGCCTCGAAAGCACAAGGTCCTGAGTTCGATCCCTGGCACATAGTAGGTTCAAAGACAGCCTGAATTACAGAGCAAGACCCTTACTCAAAAAACAAAACAAGCAAAAAACCCTGAGCCTTTGCACTGAGCTATATTCCCAGCTCTTTTTAATTTTTGAGACAAGGGCTAGGGATTTAGCTCAGTGGCACCGTATCTGCCTTGCAAGTGCAAGATTCTGAGTTCAGGCTCTCTGCTCCTGCTCGCCCACGACTTCGCCCCTTCCTGTGCAGCGCCCGCCGTGACCTGAGATGATGGTGAAGGTTGGAGTGAACAGATTTGGCTGCATTGGCCGCCTGGTCACCAGGGCTGCTTTCAACTCTGGCAAGGTGGATATTGTGGCCATCAATGACCCGTTCATTGACCTCAACTACATGGTCTACGTGTTCCAGTATGGCTCCACCCACAGCAAGTTCCAGGGCACCATGAAGGCGGAGAAGGGGAAGCCCGTCATCATCCGCAAGGCCATCTCCATCTTCCAGGAGCGAGATCCTGCCAACATCAAGTGGGGCGGTGCTGGCGCCGAGTACGTGGTGGAGTCCACTGGCATGTTCACCACCATGGAGAAGGCCGGGGCTCACCTGAAGGGTGGAGCCAAAAGGGTCATCATGTCCACCCCATCAGCGATGCCTCCATGTTTGTGATGGGCGTGAACCACGAGAAGTAGGACAACTCCCTCAAGATTGTCAGCAATGCTTCCTGCACCACCAATGACAACTTGACAACTTCGGCATCATGGAGGGGCTCATGACCATGGTCCACGCCATCACCGCCGCCCAGAAGACAGTGACAGCCCCTCGGGGAAGCAGTGGAATGACAGCCGAGGGGCTGCCCAGAACATCATCCCCACATCCACCGGTGCAGCCAAGGCCGTGGGCGAGGTCATCCCGGAGCTGAGTGGGAAGCTCACCGGCATGGCCTTCCGCGTGCCCAAGCCCAGCGTGTCAGTGACGGACCTGACCTGCCGCCCAGAGAAAGCAGCCAAATACGACGACATCAAGAAGGTGGTGAAGCAGGCGTCAGAGGGCCCCCTGAAGGGCATCCTGGGCTACACCGAGGACCAGGTTGTCTCCTGCGACTTCAACAGTGATGCCCACTCTTCCACCTTTGATGCTGGGGCTGGCATCACCCTCAACGACCACTTTGTCAAGCTCATTTCCTGGTACGACAATGAATTTGGCTACAGCAACTGGGTGGTGGACCTCATGGTTCACATGGCCTCCAAGGAGTGAGCACCCCAACCACTGCCCCAGCAAGGCGGGCGGGGGGGAGGCCTCGCTGCCGAGTCCCCACCCCACTCAGCCAACCCCAGCACGCTGAGAATCTCCCCACAGCTTCTATCCCAGGCCCCAGGAGGCCCAGAGAGCCCGGCTTATCACAACATCAATAAAGCCTGCTGCATGCCCCCCCCCAAAAAAGATTCTGAGTTCAATTCCCAGCACCCAGAAAAAAAAAAAAAGACTCTCTGACAAGATAAATTTGGAGACAGAGTCTTTCTGTGTTCCTAGGAAGGGCTCGAGCTTGCAATCCTCCTGTTTTAACCACCCAGACTTCTGAGATTACAGGTTTGTGCCACCACCCCCAGTTAGTTTGAATCTTAATTCTGTCGTAGGTACACAAATTTACACATGAGTTAAAATGACATAGAAGGATACACACACTGCCCATGTCAATTTCCTGGTTTTGAAACTATATAAAGACATAATCATCTGGAGCCATAAAAGGTATAGCCCTTGGGGAAAATGGACAAAATGAACTTAGGACTTCTTTGTCCCATCTTCATAACTTCCCGGGCTCTATATTAATTTTTTTGTTTTTTTGAGACAGAGTATCACTATGTAGCCCAGGCTGGCTTTGAACTCGCAGTGATCCTCCTGCCTCAGCCTCCTAAGTACTGAGATCATAAGCATGTACCACCATGCCTGGCCTCTATATTGACTTCAAATTTTGAAAATATTTTTTCTAAACATTTTAAAAAATCAGTTTTCTGCTTCCAGGTTCATTAGGTCATGTGTAGGGTTGTGCTGTTAGTGTTCAATAAAAGCCATCGTTTATGGCTTTTTATAAGTTGGAGCTGTTTATACTGCAGTCCTTTGGGAGTGGAGGACAGGAATTTGCAGACCTTCCTGCCATGGTGAAGGGAAAAGACAGGTTCCCTGTTGCTGAGTCGCCCTGGCTCACATCACAGGTCACGGGGACAGGAGGAGGACTCAGCCTCAGGGATGACAGACACTTTCTCTGCCACCTAGCAGGACCACCGTGGGGCAGGGTTATATTTTAATTTTATCCGTTTGAGAAAATTCAACTGTGGTAGCTGATATTTGGCCAACGACTCAACATTTGCTTGTGTTTCCTGCCACCATCGTCATGGAATGAAAGATGTCAAGGACTTTGATCCAAGTCTCAAGGAGACAATTTTGGCTTGGTTTTTGTTTGTTTGTCTTGTTTTTTTGAGACAAGTTCTCGCTATAGACCTACCCCAGGCTCGGTTCAAATTGCAGTCCTCCTGCCTCAGCTTCCTGAATGCTGGGATCACAGGTGTGCACCACCACGAGCGGCTCCAGTTGCAAGTTTTAACACAGCAGTAGCAGAACTTTCACCTGCAACCCGACTGGGAGCCTGACACATTGCTCACACAGTTGCGTACGCCCAGACCACTGGCTTTCTGGAGGTTCACTTGTACATGCCGGGACTTAGGACAGCCACTCTGCACGATGCGCTTTGGCATCTCTGGCCACAGCTGACTGGTTCAGATCCAGTATGACCAGTCCAGCCAACTCCAGGCTGCCAGGCAACTGAGCTGGGGGGTGGAGCCCCGGAGCAGCGGTGGCCCTGTTGGCCATTACATGGAGACAGTGGCTTTGGGAGGACGAAGCTGGCACTCAGAGGAAGGGGAAGCCAGTGTTATAGACAGCGCACATGAATCCACTTGTCAAAAATAGGCTTTTTGTGAAAAAGAAAAGTTTATTCCAGTGAACAGGGACTAAAATCAGGGGGTTCTAGCAGCTGGCTGGGAAAAGGAAAAGCTGAGTCTATGATATCCGAGTGTGGATGGGCTGACATCTGGATAGAGAGATACCAGCAGCTGGCTCGGGGAGATTTCACCCTCGAGTGGACGGGCTAACACCAGGAGAGAGATATCAGCAGCTAACTGGGAAAGGAATTAGGCTTATATAGGTATTGAAGGGGCTAAGGAATTTGGGGTGAAAGGTTTGTGATTGAATCCAAGGGCGGTCTGCACACGTGTGTAGACAATCACTGGACTTCTCCGCACCAGGGGGGTTGTATACCCCGCTTTGAGTCCATTCGCCCTATTGACTGAGAAGCTGCTGTTGTTTGCTGAAAGCAGCCTGTTTGCTTTGTCCTGTTTGTTTGTGAAGGATTCACTTAGGTCAGGCATGACAGCCGGGGACAGAGAGAAAGTCCCCATGGCTTCCCACCTCCTGCCTACCTTCCCAGGCCTCCATCCTCTCAGGGCGTGGCCGTCAATCCGGATAAATCAACTTCACTGGATTAAGAAACACCTGGCTGACCAGCTTGGCAAGCTCTCTGTGTCTGGGTGAGGCAGGGACTCGTGGCCTCTGGGGCTGAATCCACTCCCTCACCCCTCCCTCTCCAGCTCGGTGTCCCTGCTCTGTGTCCCCAAGCCATGAACTGAGCAGCTCCCCAGTGCCCCACCCTTCCAAGAGGCTCCTCGAGCAGCCAGTGAGGACCTAACCGGTGACCACACTGATTCTCTCCTCCTCTCCAGCTGGGCATGTGCAAAGCAGGACGAGTCGGAGGCATTTCTGGTTAAACGGATGGACCCCGAGAACACACTCTTTTTTTCTTTCTTTTTTCTTTGGTACCTGCTATCCAACTCGGGACCACTGAGCTAAATCCCCGGCAAGTCCACACTCTGAAGTGAAATAAATCAGACACACGTGTTTAAATACCACATTGTTTCTCTGGAGGGAGAAACCAAAAGTGGAAATAAGGACCAAAATGAATAATAGATATTGGGAAATGGAAGAAAGTGTTCAAATGGGAAGGGGAAAAAGGGAGGGAAGGGAGAAAGGAAGGAAGGGACAAGAGAAAAAGAGAACAGAAGGGAAAAAGGAAACAAAGCTTTTGTACACGAGGGGAAGAGGGGTTGCAGGGAGGGGAGGGGAATGGGAGACAAAGAAGCAAGATACATCATGTACCAGTACAAATTCCCTGTGGTGAACATTATCCTATGTATATCCAACATGTACCAATAAAAAAAATCAAACTGGTGGGGTGGCACACGCCTATGATCCCAGCACTTGGGCGGCTGAGGCAGGATCGCCTGGAATTCAGTGGCAGCCTGCGCTACACAGCGAGATTAAGACCAGCCTGACCTTCATATTGACACCCTGTCTTAACTCTCCCCTCTGAATTGTGTCCACCAACGGGAAAGCCAACTGATACAATTGGCTACGAAAAGCTAATAGACCCCCCATGTTGCTCAAGCTGTGCTGAGGTGGTTCATTGTCCCTTGCAACCCACAGACCTCAGAGTGCCCAACCATACCAACTCCTTCACTTTACAGCCAGAGAAACAGAGCCTGGGGCAAGCTGTGGCCTCCGGAAGGCTGAGGTCTGTGACAGCCTAGGCCAGGCTTTAATCCAAGTTTCCCGGTGGGACACTTCCGAAGGCCCTCCACCTTGGGAAATGCTTCAGCACCTCTTTCTACCTATAAAACAGAGAGAGGGGACACAAATACAGGGACTTCAGAGCATAACTGGAAACCCGGTGGCTGGAACCCAAGCTGGAAGGGGCGAAGTCAGCTGGCGGAGGTGGAAGCTCATCAGCCCCACGCTGGGCCTGGCCGTGGCCAGGGACATCAAAGCAGGTCTTCATGGGCTGGGGATTTAGCTCAGTGGTTTCACCGCCTGCTGCTCAAGTGCAAGTACCGGAGTTCGATCCCCGGTATCAAAAAGAAAAAAAAAAAAAAAGATTCAAAGCAGGTCTTCATGTCTCGAAAAACTCACACAGGATTCAGATTAAACAAAGCCAGGAACTATTGCCTAATCTGGGCCAAAATGAGAGAATAGAAGGGCCAGAGACCTGCTCCAACCTGCTGCTGGGGGGGTCCCCAAGTCCTCCAGCCCCCGAGGTCACTGGAGCAGCTCCTCTGCCAGCATTTCTCTCCTTTCCGTTTCCATGAGTTCTTGCCTTCTATGTCCTTCAAAGCAATTCTGCCTGATTCGAAAACCAAAAGTGTAATTCGTGAACCTAGCACAGGTTCTTAAATAGCGAGAAATGGGCTCCATCTCCAAAACACAGACTTCGTCCTCGAGTGTGACTCCTCTATTCCCCTCGCCCAACTGGGACTTAGGACCCAATGGTGACACAGAGTCCTGGAGGTCAGAACTCTCCTAGGAAGTCCAGGGTGGACTGAACAGATTCCCCACACACCTCCCCAGGATCCTCCTGCCTCAGCCTCCCCAGTACTGAGATGACAGACATATGCCACCACGCCCACTGCCCTGGGATGTGAAGTGGGTTCTTCAGGTTCGAAGCCTGAGCCTCCATGTTAGCATCTCAGGTTGTGTGCGCTCTGTCACTCAGTGTATCTACGTGTGCGCTGTGCCCGGATGCCTGTCATGGTTGGTCATGCAGCCCCTGCATGTCGGCTGCATGTCCACAAATGAAATTCATCACCACTGCATTTGTCCATGGGCTGATACTTCCCTCATAAGTCTAGTATGTTTAGTGAGTAACCATTAGGGTAGCTTACATGTTCACTCACTCATTCACACATTTGAGTTCCTACTTTGTGACAGTGTGACAGTCACTTTGTTTTAGGGTCTGTGGATAAAACAGTCAAAAAACAGGCTAGACCAAGCATGGTGGCACACACCTATAATCCCAGCCCTCAGGAGACTGAGGCAGGAGGATTGCCATGAGCTCAAACCCAGCCTGGGCTTCTAGTGAGATCAAGGCCAACATGAACTACATAGTGGAATTCTACCTCAAAAAACAAAAACAAAAACAAACTAATGCCAGGATGAGGTGAGGTAACACGTGCCTATAATCTTAGGAGGCTGAGGCAGGAGGACTGTGAGTTCAAGGCTAGCTTGGCCTACATAGTGAAACCCTGTCTCATAAAACCAAAAACAACAACAGCAAAAACAGTGTCATCACAGAGCCTACGATCAAGACAATAAATGTAATAATAATAACAACAATGATATAGCTCACATAGGAATAAATCAAGAAGTGTCAAATTATATCTCCGTTAGAAGTCGGGGTGCAGTGGAAACGCAGGGCAGAGTGAGGGAGGCCCAGTGAGGGTAGAGTGGATGGGAGGGTGGCCGCCTGGACAGGTGGACAGTGACAAATGCACCTTAAGGACAGGAGGAAGTAGAGCTGGGAGGTGTGGCCTGGCCTGCCGTGTCCAAGGGACTCAGGAGGCTCAGGATCGGAGGAAAACATCCCGGGAAAGCAAACAGGCCTTGAAGTCTTTCTCTGAATCTCAGGTTTCCTGCTTTCTTGAACCTGGAATGTGGTTTAAGGTAAACCTCCTTGTGGTTGCTGGGTTGGCAGCCTGGACAACCATCCTGGAAACCATTTCTTTTTCTAAGAAAAGGAAAAAGGAAAGGAAAGGAAGAAGATGGAAACCATGACCCCAGAGGAGGCAGAGGAAAGGACTGAGGCTTTGAGTCCCTGCCCTGCTGCTTAAGCTGAGGGACAGTGGCTACCAAGTGGCCTCCCCAAATCTGTCAAATGGGGTGACACCCGTGGCTGTGAAGGGAATAAAACTCAAACACACAGCCCCAGCAGCAGCCTGACCCTCAGCCGGCTCCGGCGGGCAGTCCCTGATTCTCCTTTTGCTTTACTGGAGGAGAAACTGGAATTTCAGCACCTGAGGGCAGTTGCCAGATGAGAGCTCAGGGTGGTTTCGAACCTCTTTTGGATCCTGACTTCTCTAGCACAGCATGATGCTAAGATTCCTGGTGGGAAAGCTGGAGCCTAAATCCCACCTGAATTTGAATCCGCACATCAAAGGAGTTAAGGCTCACTGGGGTCTGCCTGTCACTCAGCTCGGCCCGCTCTGGGACTCCTGGTCCTCTGCTGCCACCCCCTGGTGGCAAGAGGGACTGCAGAGACCCAGGTAAGGGGACAGCGGGGATCAGCCCCTTCCTGCCTGCCCACAGGCTCCAACCAGCTCTCTGGAGGCCAGTGCCTTTCAGCCTCAGCTCACGGCCTGTCCTCAGATCCACTCAACTGCAGCTTCCTAGGCCACCAAGTGGCCTCAGGACCTTGACCACCTCCTCCACCTGTCCAGGTGCGCTTCTCACCTCCCTCCAACTGGCCCTGTGGCTCCAGAAACGGCAGCCCCCAGGGATGCCTCTGCGGGCACCAACTAGGCGGGGTCCCCTGGGTGCTTATTCCCCCAGCACTCTGTGTCTTTTCCTTTGGCGTCACTTCTCACAAACGCATTCAATCTCTGTTTGGATAAACAGGTACACATCCCCTTCTCAGCAATCAGACTAAACATGCTGCGAAATCGGGGCACCTCTGTCCCCCGCAGGGCCTGCACATGCAGCAGGTGGTTAATAAATGCCTGGTGACAGAAACCAGCGGGGGAAGACGTGGGGGGCCCTTGGGTACCCTTGGGTTTCTCTTTGGTGGTGTGGGCTGGTTCTGACCTGGAACTGCTGGGGGACAAATGTCTGGGACATCGAGTCCGTCCCCAAAACACTGTCTCACAAGGGCTTTCTGGCCAGGGCTCTGGGAAGAGCTGATCCCAGGACCCAGCAGGCTGGAAGCACTTGGCAATGGCCACAGCCTTGTTGGTGGCCCTGCTGGTATGTGAACACCCTCCTGCCTCCTCAGCCCCTCACACCCCAGTGTGACACCTCCAGATGACTTCACTGCTTTCCAGAGAGGCCCCACGTGACAGTCTTATTCCAACACAGCCAAGGGCATGGTGTCACAGGGAGATTTAGCCACCCACTAAACACACTCTGAGAGCGACTGACGAGCCAGGGACTCTGCCAACACTGGGTCGTCAGAAGGGGTGGGGACAGAATGCCTGTTACAGATAGCTCAGGCTGGGCATGGTGGCCCACGCCTATAACCACAGTGTTGGGGAGGCTGAGGCAGGATGATCTCTACAAATTCAGGGTCAGCCTGGGCTACATAGTGAGTTCAAGACCAGCTTGAACTACATAGCAAGACCCCCCAAAAACATAGAATTACTATCTGACCCTGCAATTCCTTTTGTTTTGTTTTGTTTTGTCATTTCTTAAATATGAGTGCACTTGGGTACTAGAGATCAAACTCAGGACCTTGCTCTTGCAAGGCAAGTGTGGTGCCACTGAGCTAAACCCCTAGCCCTGTTTTGTTGGGTTTTTTTGAGACAGGGTCTTGTTATGTAGTTTAGACTGGCCTGGAACTCACTATGTAGCCCAGCTGGCCTCGAATTTGTGGTGATCCTCCTGCCTCAGCCTCCCAAGTGCTGAGATTACAGGCATATACCACCATGCCTGGCTTATTTTATTTTTGAGGCAGAATCTCACTAAATTTCCCAGGCTGGCCTCAAACTTGTGATCCTCCTGCCTCAGTCTCCCAAGTGGCTGGGATTATAGATGTGCACCACCCTACCTGGCAATTTCCAGCGTTTTTCCATTTTGATGTAGTGAGATCGCTCAGCCTCTCTTTCATCTGGGTTCTGTCTTCTGCGCATGCCTGGAAGCTTCCAGAGGCTCAAGCCAAGCGGTCCCTGGGCAAGGCCCACAAGGGCTGAGCGCGTCCCAGTGCAGTGCCCATGGCCTGCTGCTGTTCCCTGCAGGCTCCCTGCTCCATGGGTGGAGAAGGTGTTGACCCGCAGCACTCTCTAAGGAAAAGCTGGGCCGAGCTTGCCTTTTGCCAGGCACCGTGGGAGGCACCCGAGAACTGACATTTTTTTAGGTGCTGGGTATTGAACTCAGGGGCACTCAACCACTGCGCTACATCCCCAGCTCTTTTGTTAAAATTTTTAAATTTTTTTGAAAGGTCTCAATAAGTTGCTAAATTGCCCAACTTGAGATCCTCCTGCCTCTGCCTCCTGAGTAGCTAGGATTACAGCTTGCCCCGACGTGCCTGGCAGTTCTGTGATCCAGACATGACTCTGATGCTCCCTTTGCAGTGGGAAGCACCCTGTTCACCCAGCTCTAAGAGCGAAGACCCGGGGCTCAGACCCTGGGGGCCCCAGAACCCGTGATGGGGCCAGGACGTCCTGTGTCCTCCCGGACTGAGGGGCAGTGGGTGCATCGGGGCCTGGAGTGGACATCAAGAGGCACGAGTGGGGGGACCCCAGTGTGTAGCATCTTTGGGGAAGAAGCGCGGCGACTGGGGCAGGAAGACCAGTGGGTCGTGGGGTGCTGGGAACAGCGGCAGTGGGAGGGAGGCTTCCTCAAGGAGGGCACGGGTCCACTCCGGACCATGGCAGCAGCGGGGCTGCCTTCCTCGCAGCAGGACCCTGGAGGAGCGACGTGGAGAGGACTTGAGGTGGGGACCGGGGACAGACCTGGGGACAGTGGCCGGAGCCTCAGACTCCACAGCTCCACCAGGAGGTCCCTGGCAGCAGCGCCGCCGACAGAGCCCGGGGTGTCTGAATTCCTCTCCCACTGCTGAGATCGAGACTTACTTGGCGCAGACTCTCCCCGCGGAAGGAGGCCGCCCAGAGACAAGCCCAGCCGGAATTCGCGTCTCTGAGCTCTTGCCACAGCTTATTTTTCCAAGGCTCTGGCGATTCTCTAGGATAAACAATGAAATTGTTGAAACTGTGAGAATGAGCATAGTGCGAACTTTGGAAGAGCCTTAGTATGTTCGTGCAGGGATCCGGATCAGCTCAAGTTTGTGTCGATGCAACTGATTTTACACCTGCCCACACTGGGACTCAACAGCATTCATCTCCCTGTGTTGAATGACTTTTTCCTGCAGCAAATACAGTTGTAATCACACGCCGTGTGATTTTTAATTGGAAGAGACTAGAAATAAGACCTTGAATTAACAAATTTGCTTTCTTTGATTTTAATTAATACTTTTTTTTTTTGAGACAGGGTCTCGCTATATAGTTCAGGCTGGCCTTGAACTCACTATGGACCCCAGGCTGGCCTCGAACTCACGGTGAGCCTCATGCCTCAGCCCTCTGAGTGCTGGGACAACAGGTGGGCGCCATCATGCCCAGCAGACTTTATGTTTTAGAGTAGTATTTAGGTTTGCAGAAACATTGAACAGAGTGTAGTGGTCCATGCCTGTAACCCCAGCACTCTGGGAGGCTGAGGCAGGTGAATTGCAAGTTTGAGCCCAGCCCGAGCAACATAGCAGGTTAACAAGACTGTCTCATAATAAAAATTGTAAAAGGGCCAGGCAGTTAGCTCAGAGCAAAGGCCCTGATGTTCAATCTTCAAGTACAAAAAAAAAAGTTTTTAAAGGAAAGGCAGGAAGAAAAAAAAGAAAGAGGGCCAGTGATGTAGCTCAGGGGCACCATGCCTGGCAAGCACAAGGTCCTGAGTTCGATCCCCAGTACTGGGAAAAGAAAAAGAAAGAAAGAAAAAGAGAGAGAAAGGGCCAGTTGTGGCGGCACACACCTGTAATCCCTACCACCTGGGAGGCTGAGGAAGGAGGATACCTACAAGTTCGAGGCCTCTTCGAAAAAACAAGAGGAAAGGAAAGGAAAAAAAGCTGTACTGTGTTCTTCCCAATCACAGGCATGCACACACACGCACACACACACACACACACACACACACACACAGAGTCTGTAGGAAGCCGGCCGAAACAGCTCCAAACTGACCATGTCAAGAGAGGTCCGGAGATGCTGAGCTGCTCAGGAAGCCTACAAGTCATCTACACTGTCGCCGTGGCCCTGGTCACCCCCACAGCCCCACCTCAGGGCTCCTGGCCCCCACTCAGCTCAGCCACACACAGCGATCCCTCTTGGCTGGAAGCAACCAAAGCCCAGCTCAAACTAACGGAAGCCTGAGGAGAAGTGCAGAGGCCACAGGAGCGGCAGGACTCGGGCCTGGCCCTTTGAGAAGGAAGCTCTAGGCAGCCTTTATCTCCAAGGAACCCGAGATCCTGACTGCGCCTTTTAGCTTTGGTTGTTGGGGATTTGCCTTGGCCTAGGAGGCTGCTACCTCCCAGGTACACAAATACAGAGAAATGCAGATGGCTTCCCACCTTCTCCTCCCCTCTTATGCCTCTTCCTGTTTAGGGTACGGTTACCCATCTAACCCCTGCTAAATCTGCTTTTTTTGTTTGTTGGTTTGGTTTGGTTTGCTTGTTAAGAGTAGGAAAATTTGGGGGGTGGGTATAGGAATAGCTCCCGGGAGGTAGGAGGGGTCCCAAATGGGTTTCCCTTACCTTGAGACAGGATCTGGCTATGTAGTTCAGGCTGGCCTTGAACTCACTATGGAGCCCAGGCTGGTCTTGAACTCACAGAGATCCTCCTGTCTCAGCCTCCCAAGTGCTGGGACGACAGGCATGCACTACTACGCCCAGCTCAGTGGAGCTGTCTTGTAGGGAGGGCCTGCTCCAGCTGGCTCCAGTTTACTGCCAAGGGCTGGGCACACTCTGATCCAGGGCTTCATGGACACAGAGGCAAGGCTGAGGTCTCCCGACCCTACCAGGCCAGTTCTTCCCCACCTGAAAAGCCAGCCAGCCTCTCACCACGCCTGCCTTCCTTTCTCTGTCCCTTCAAGTCCCAAACTGCGTCAGATTTATCCAGCATGGGAAGGCTTAACTGCAAAAGAGAGCAAACGCCAATCCTCCATTCAGGACAATGCAGGAGCCCACAGGGCCCCCCATGTGTGCCTCTGGTGTGAGAATTATTCTGAGCTGGAGATGATTGAGCCGAAGGAGACCAGGGCAACTGGGAGCTCAGGAGTTTTGCAGGTTTCCCAGGGCACACAGAGCCTTGTTTACACGACCTATATTAAGGGTGGAATAGCATTGTGTCTAAGAAAACAACACACAATTCTTAGTTTTAAAATACTGCGATTGGGTGGGTGGTAAATGCCTGGAGTTCTGCGTTCTGGGAGGTAGAAGAATCAAAAAGTCTGAGCCTAGCCAGGCGTGGTGGTACTCACCTGTGGTTCCAGCCCTTGGGAGGCTGAGGCAGGAGGATTGCTGTGAGTTCAAGGCCAGCCTTGGCTACATTGTGAGTTCAAGGCTAACCTGAACTATATAGTGAGACCCTGACTTAAAAACAATAAATGAGTCCAGCTTGGGCAGCTTAGCAACTTATTGAGAACCTACCTCAAAAGAAAAAAAAATGTTTAAAGGGTTGGGGATGTAGCTCAGTGTTTTGTTTGTTTGGGTTTTTTTGGTACCAGGGATCAAACTCGGGTCCTTGAGCTCGAGAGGCAGGCAGCAGAAACACTGAGCTAAATCCCCGGCCCTATAGCTCAGTGTGAAGACCCTGGGTTCAATCCCAGCACTGGAAAAAAGAGGAGAGGGAGGTTTTATTACCGGGTGCTGTGGCTCATGTCTCTAATCCCAGTTACACAGGTGGTTGACGCAGGAGGATGGCAAGTTTGAGCGGAGCCTGGGTAACTTAGTGAGTCTTAAAAACAAAAAGCACTGGGCCAGGGATTTCGCTCAGTGGTTCCCCCGCCTCGCAAGTGCAAGGATCCAAGTTCAATCCCCAGTACCAAAAACAAACAAACAAACAAAAACCCAAAAAGCACTATGGTGGAGCTCAGTGATAGAGTGCCTGCCTGGCATGCGTGAGCCCTGAGTTCAGTGCCCAGTACTGAAAAGTAAATCACTGCTAAAAAGCGCTGTGGTCATTTGTGGCCCCAGCGAGAGGCACCTTGTTGCTGGCAGCTCTTGCCTCCAGGTGGAGGGCCACCGCTGGATCCAGTGCCTGTGCCCGAAGGCTAAGTGGCTGTGGCAGTTTCTTAAATGAGATGACAACACAGGTTGCCCTGGTGATCGATTCCACCTTTCTGGACATTTCTCTGTAGCACACGATGCTATTTGGTATCATTTCACCCACGGCAGAGCATCCTTCAAAATCGTCCATCCTCTCTAACATGACAGACAGCTGAGTTAGGGAGAAATAGTCTAGGCAGTCAGACAGGGGGAGGCCCTCGAGGGATGAGAACACACACAACTAGGCAGTCAGACTGGTTGGAGGCGCACGTGTCAAAGGCCGGGCCTTGGATAAAGAGGAACACCAGGCCTGTATGCCTCCCCAGGGGATGAGCAATAAATTAAAGATTAGACTGTAACTGGTATCACCTGGTTCAATAAAGTCGCGATAGACATCAGCTACCCAGAAACCACTCTTAAATTAGCCTTGGTTCTGCATGCCTGGAATCCCAGTACTCGGGAGGCTGAGTCAGGTGGACCCTGTCTCAAAAAAAACAACAAAAAGGGGAAGGGGCCTGAAATAGCATGCTGTGCAGGTTATAGTTAAGTAAAGAGGCAAAGACTTCAAGGAATACTAGTTTTTGTTTGGTTTTTTGAGAACAGGTCTCACTGTGTAGTTCAAGATGCACAGCAACCCTCCTGCCTCAGCCTCCTGAGTGCTGGGATGACAGGCATGCACCACCACACCCGCCTGGCTCTGGCTTTTGATTAGAGAGTCATTCACGAGGGCTTCCTTTTGCTTGTGCAAGGAGAGGCCCATGTAGGGTTAGGAACTGACCTTATTTCTACATTGCGTCTGGGCTCCGGCCTCAGGAGGAGAGGAGGGCGTGGCCAGCAGGTGGAGCGGTCGGAATTCGAAGGCGCCATCTTCCTCCTCTCCTGGAAGGACAAAAGCGGTCCTGGAGGGAAGACTTCAGGCCTCTCCCTTGTCAGCTCCAAAGGAATCTCCTGCAAGCCCACCGACCAGCCTTGGTCGCCTGCCTGTAGTTTGGCTCCGTTGCTCTTGAGATCCCCAGTTGTTCTCCCCCTGTCTTGTCACTGTCTAAACATGGCCCAGCCTGCGTCAGAGCCACTTGCTTCAGCCAGGCGTGGTGGCGCACACCTGTCATCCCAGCACTCGAGAGGCTGAGGCAGGAGGATCATGAGTTGGAGGCCAGCCTGGGCTACACAGTGAGTTCAAGGCCAACCCGACCTGCAAAGTGAGACCCTGTCTAAAAAAAGGTAAATTGTTGTCTTCATCTTGCTGTCACACCTATAACTAACTTATAAAGGTTTCCTCCAGCTGCCCCTTCATGCCCCTGAATGGCTTTGTCTGGGATTGCCCTGTTCATGAGTCAATGAGTAAGCAAATAATGCATTCTTTTTTTTCTTTTTCTTTTCCTTTTTTTGAGACAGGGTCTTGTTATGTATCCTGGGCTGGTCTCGGACTCCTGACAATCCTCCTGCCTCGGCCTCCTGAGTGCTGGGATTACAAGCATGTCCCACCATGCCTGGCTGCATGGGTTTTTGTTTTGTTTTGTTTTTTTGTACCGGGATCAAACTCGGGACCTTGTGCTTACAAGGCGGCCGTGGCACCACTGAACTCAATCCCTAGCCCTGCACGGGTATTGTGATGTGGCCAATTTACCCTTTCTCAAGGCTGCCCCAGAGAAGCAGCCCTCGGGACTCACACCCAAGAAGGCACTGGAGCGCTTCTGCTTCTGAACCTCAAGCCACCCAGCCTGGGCAGTTCTGGCTCAGGGTTGAATGGGGTCCCGTGCATCCTTACCACCTGCTGCTAACTCAGAGCTTGGCTGGGATTCTGAGCCCTGGCATCCAGAGCCTCTGGGTCCTGGTGACAGTTTCCATGGAGTTCACAGAAGGGACAGGGACAATCCCGGAAGAGCAGAGAAACAAATGCTGGCCTTGGCCACACCAAACACCTCTGGCGCAGAGCGACCGCTTTGGCTGAGCAGAAAGACCAGAGCACCTGCCGGATGGCACTTCTGCAGCCTGCCTTGGGAGGATTGCTGAGGGCTCAAGGCAGCCTGGGCTACATAGCGAGATCCTATGTCAAAAAACCAGAAAAATTCATATAATAGAATGTGTGCCTGTGGTGTCGAGGGGTGGGAGCTGGCTGGGCTGCGTGGATGGAGGTGATGAAGCGAGTCTAGGCCAGGGAGGGCTTTGCGGATGCAGGTGATGAAACGCCATGAACTGGAGGATGATGGACTCCATCAGACCCCCCATCCCCCAAGTGTGAAAATGCAGGGAGGGCAACAGAAAGCCAGCAGCCTCTCCTGCCTGTCCCCAAGGGGAGAGCATGGGTCCCAGTCCCACATGGTAAGGAGTCGCCCGGAACTCTTTTTCTTTTTTTTTTTTGGTGCCAGGAATCGATCTTGGGTCCTTGCCCTTACGCAGCAGGCGGTGAAACCACTGAGCTACATCCCCGGCCCTAGCCCGACAACTCTTAAAACCTTCTCACTTTTTTTTCTTTTTCTGAAGATAGGAGACAAAGGCAAATATCACCTTCATTTCCCAAACTGACGTTGAGGCCGCCAAGCTTAAAACCTTTGATTTTGGAATGAATTCAAGTCCAAAGATGCGAATGGAGTCCGACTTTGTATCCAGCCAGGCATGAATCACAGGGCAGATGGTGGGGCGTGGGGAGCAGAGCTGGGCTGAGCAGGGGGGCTGCCGGTTCTGCTTTCTGTCCACTGTGACCCCGCAGATTCAGGCAGGGGAGAGGCAGGGCGGCATCAGGTCCCAGGGGATGGGGTAGGGGAGACAGAATCCCTTCTTGCTTTGTAACAAAACGGACATTTCTGGTCCTTTCAATCACCCGTGGCCCTCTAGGTTGGATTTCTGTCACTTGCAATCAAAAGAATCCTGACTGCTAGAAGCATTGTGGGGGCTCAGGAATCTGTTTCCTTCCTTCCTTCCTTCCTTCTTCCTTCCTTCCTTTCTTTTTTCTCTTCTCTTCTCTTCTTCTTCTTTCTCTCTCTCTCTCTCTCTCTCTCTCTCTCTCTCTCTCTCTCTTTGTTTTTGCAGTGCTGGAGATTTGATTCTTTTTTCTAAGCTACATCCCCAGCTCTTTTTTACCTTTTTTAAAATTTTGAGGCAGTCACTAAATTGCCCAGCCTGGGCTTAAACTTGAGATCCTCCTGCCTCAGCTTCCCAGAGTGCTGGGATTCCGGGTGTGTGCTACCGCATCTGGCTCAATTTAAAGTTTTTAGGCTGTGGACAAGAGGTGACAGTCAGACCGCAGAAAGATTGGCCACCTGAAGAATTGGGGTCCATATACCTTGCCCATTCCCTCAGGAAAACTTCTTGCTTCCTATGCTAAACTCGATTTTGCATTTTGCTTTAGCTTCCAATACTTGTCTGCACATGCCCTGTGCTTTCACGGGTGGCTGAAAATACTCTATGACGTGACAACCTTCACAAAAGTCAATAACAAGCACACTGTGTCAAAACCCAGGACATAAATATAAATAAAATCACATCGGGTTTCCTGCTGGTTGCTGAAGCAGACATTAAGGAAGTCTTATCTTCAGCAGTACATTTAGAATTCCCTGTCATAGAAAATTATCTTTAAATGATAGCTCAGAAAAGAAATATAAAAAGCCCTCATGCCATTTATTATTAATGTAATTTATGTTACATCTCTCAGTGGAATGCAGAAAATATGCCAATAAATTAGTTCAGAAATGATACAAAATTAAATATGAATGCAGTGCTCAAACAAGTGCCAATTACACTGCAGCAGACTTGTAAATATTTTCATAAGCAAATCCTGCTCCATATTCGGGTAGCACTGTGGACCAAGAAAAAAAAAATCATTGTACAGAAATCTGGGTACATTTCCCAGTTTATAAATTGAATCTTCTGATTTTTAATTTTTAATAGATATGTATATTTGGGGGGGGAACCGGGGATCAAACTCGGGACCTTGTGCTTGTGAGGCAGGCGGCAGAACCACTGAGCTAAATCCCCGGCCCTTAATATATATATATTTAAAGACAGAATTGTGCTATGTGGCCTAGGCTGGCCTGGAACTCTCAGCAATCCTCCTGCCTCAACCTCTCCAGGGATTACTGCACCCGGCTCACCCCCACGCATTGGTGACTGATTCATTTTCACTCAGTCTCCTGATTCAAATGCTAAATTGTGCCAGAAACATCTTGACAGATTTACCCCCAGAGTACATTTATCAGCTCATCCATTGGCCACTGACTAAGTTTAACCATCACATATCTGACGTAGGGTGGGACAAGGAGGACTTAGAACCACCTGGCAGAGGGAAACCAGGGGGGCAAAAGCTGCCAACAACTTCTGCCACTCTGTAGCTGGAAGGGAAGGGAGCCAGCCCTGCCTCACATGGTACCCTCGGTCTCCCATCGACTGAGAGGGTAGAAGGGGCCTCAGGCAGGAGTGTGCAGAACTCGGGTCGCCCAATGGCTCGGCTGGTTGGTCAGGGACCTGGGGACACCTGGGAAGGTTAGGGAAAAGGAAGGCGTAGACAGGGGACTCTGTGTTGAGTTAGGGTGATCACTGAGGACCGCCCAGGGCTGGAGCCAAGGCAGTGCCACCCAGGCCAGAGACAAACGGAGCCACAGTTTCAACAGAAGAAATAATGCATGCTGGGAGGCGGAAGTGGAGGACCAAGAAAATGACATGTTCAAGAAATAGCCAAGAAAATGGCCCTCAGTCCCTACGGTGACCATTTGGCCCAGAAGCTCACCAGAAAACAATGAGCCAGCACTTGAACTTCCCAAACCAGAAGCTCACACTTCAAAGGTGGCCTGTGTCCTTGAGGGTGCTGCCATTGGTGAGCAGGTTCCCCCCCGGTGACAGCCTGAGGTCTGGGCACCATGGAGAAGGGCTCAAATTCCACCCTGTCTGCAGGCTCCAAGTCAGTCCAGGATCTAAAAGACAGGTTTGGTCAGATGATAAGTGACAGACACTTTGTTAGCAGAGTCATCTAACAAAGTTATGCTGCATAAGACCTTTTTTTTCTCTTGAGACGGGGTCTCGCTGTGTAGTCCAGGCTGGCCTTGAACTTGTGGCAATTCTCCTGCCTCAGCCTCCCAAGTGCTGGGATTACATGTGTGCATCACCACGCCCAGGATCTTTTTTCTTTCTGGCAGTACTGGAGATAGAAACCAGGGCCTTCGCTGCAGACAGGCAGGTCTGCGGACAGGGTCCCAAGGTCGCCAGTCGCACTGAAAACACTGAATCAGCCCGCACTCCGGCAGCAATCCACTGGACCCCCCCACACTCCTTTGGCCACTTCTCTGTACAGCCACCTGTTTCCACACTACAAAGACGCAGAGGACACTGGACCACCAGACTGCTGTACTGGAGCTAATCAAGTTCTCGGCATTTAAAGAATCCCTGCCCAGAGGTAGGGGCTTCTGAGCCGCTATCCCACTGCTCCTGGCCCAGAGGTAGGGGCTTCTGAGCCACCATCCCACTGCTCCTGGCCCAGAGGAAGGGGCTTCTGGGCTGCCTTCCATCCCACTGCTCCTGGTCCACAGGAAAGGGCTTCTGGGCCACCATCCATCCCGCTGCTCCCGGCCCCTGTCTCACCTCTCCCAGCTCAGAAGAAGTGAGCCGCGTGGGCGCCAACAGCACCGACCCCCCACCCCCGGTCAAAATGAGAAAACACATAAATAAGCCTCAAAACCAGACTTCCAGATCACCTACAGCAACCCCAAAGGGAAATGAGATGGAACACTCTGATACTCAACCACCTGGACCCACTGAACTGGCAACAAAAGGGGATCTGGAAAAAATGAAATCAGAAATAATTTCTCAGATAAGAGGAGAAACTGTGCTCCTAGTGCAAAACATGATTAATAAATCTATAGAGGATCTGAGGAACATGATGGAATCCCAACATAGGAAACAAATGAAATCCATAAAACAGATGCAAATAGATTTCAAGGAGATGAAAAACTCCATTGAAAGTCTACACAGCAGAATGAGCCAATGTGAGGACAGAATTTCAGATATAGAAGATAAGATTGCAATTAGTGACCAGGAAAAGAAAAATTGTTTCAAAATTATAAGGGAACACGAGAAATCAATCCAGCAGCTGCTAGACAATGCAAAGAAGAATAA